CTGAACACTAATCCCACTCTACTACTTACCCGGTCATGATGCAATGCGTATCAATCCGTTACAGACAGTTGCCCAGCAGTGCTCCCATTTTATTTGCAACAATCCATTGCCTACGAGATTGTGCCGAAGGTCTGCCGATGGATGTGCCCAAGCAGTGCCGAATCTAATTTCGGCATAATGTGCTGAGTGACTTACCCCTTGGAAAATCCACGAACTCCTCATTTTATCTGTCAAACTTTCATAGCCAATCAAAACAAACATTGTGTAGTAGTAGAATTTCGACAAGAATGGGGTACGTTAATCGTTTGCTTGGGACCAATAGACTAGTCAAGTAGTGAGCCAATTTAAAATCGTTAGTTTCCACTGGTTGATCATAGCCTCCGTGAAATCCTTGGAATAGTTTCCCAAGACAAGATGTTGATCAAGTGCCATTCTGAATATCTCAAACAGTCCAATAATTCAAATCACATTCCTTAGATATTCTCTCATGAAACCAGGTGTCTCAGAAAATATTGCTAAGATCATTGATGAATCGTAAGCCTCGATACGACGTAGAAACGGGTTGCAACTTCAATGCCACATCATTTGCCGCTTCGAGAGTCAAGGGCCGTGGGTGGGTATTAGATCCGTTTGCGTTGCGTTGACGTAAATTTGACAGTTATACAATAGATTTAGCTGTAACTTTGCCGCAACGCATCCGATCCGGATCTAATGTACGCGGGCCTTCACAAGCAGCAATTTTATGATTCATGAGCGTTCACTCACGGAGTGTTTGGTGAATATTTATTCAGCCCAAGTAACACAAATTCATTGAATTATGTTGAGTAAACTACTATACAACCAAAACCAGTCATACAAAGGTTATATAAACTGTTAAAGAACAAGTGTGTTGCTTGGGATCGGGAAACCCCCTCTACTTGGTGATGGAAATCTGAAGGAAATTTGAGTTTGCTTTATCAAATCGAACGTAGCGAAACGGACTGAAAGCTGATTTCCAATCGATTTTGACCGGAAGCGTCGCACCCAGTGGATCGGAATTTAGCAGCTGACCAACCAGCGAGGAAGGAGTCAACATCGAACCAGGAACGGACAACGAGTAAAACCCGGAAAAGGCGGAATCATGTCAGAATCGACCAAGTACGATCTACGGAAGAAAATTGCCGGTGCAGCACGAAATGAAATACGAAGCGTTAGAGAAAATGTACATGGATTCCAAAAGAAGCTATCAACGGCGGCAGACTAGTGGAACATGGTAAGACCAGGCCAATTAATCATATCGTCCGGCCATTTTCCACAGGGATGGCGCTGTTCCGCTGGTAGCAAGTGATAAAAATCCCCATATAGAAATTGAGAGAAGTGGGAATAGTTCACTTTCATTGCATATTCAGGTCAAAAAAAGTGAACGACAGCCTAAAGAAATCATTCATGAACTTTGTCGTTCACTTAAATGAAATGGAAATGATTGTTAAACAAGCTACAATTCAATTAAAATTATTTTTCCCCACATAGTTTTACCCGAGGTTTTACCCGAGGTTTTACCCGCTTTACTACCAGTCCCCAGAGAGCAATTTCGAGAGAGAAAATTCGCTCTCACGAGAGCTCAATCTCTCAACATGCCATGTATTTTGATGACGCTCTATTTGTGATTTCTCTCACACAGACTACAAAATAGAGTACCTGTCACTGCAAAACGTGTCTGGTAAACCGTATGCATAGAAAACGGTGGGAAACCCTGTCAGGGGCGGCGCTTAGAAAGTATGTTTTGTGCAGAATACATGTTTTGACCGCACTGCCCTCTGTTAACAATTAACTGAACTAAGTGTATTTCTGATAGATGTCACCATTAAGAACAGCAGTGACATCTGGAGAAAAATTAGCGCAGAAGCATGGTAACATGATTAATTTTTTAATTAAACTAAATATGCGCCAGGTTTGAAAAGAAGTTCGCGTAAAGGCTACGTGCCGCAAACCGATATGTGCAAGGACGGTAACCTTCTCACGAATGAGTGTGAGGTGATTGAGAGGTGGAACCAGTACTATGACGAGCACCTCAACGGTGATGCAGGAGAGAACGAAGACCTTGGAGCACGCGCAGAAGACGACAGGCTACCGGCCCCTGATCTCCAAGAAGTTGATGAGGAGATCGGTCGGCTGAAGAACAACAAAGCAACTGGTGTAGATCAACTACCAAGTGAGCTATTAAAATACGGTGGTGAACCACTGGCTAGAGCACTGCACTGGGTAATTGCCAAGATTTGGAAGGAGGAGATATTACCGGAGGAGTGGATGGAAGGTGTCGTATGCCCAATCTACAAAAAGGGCAACAAGTTGGATTGCTGCAACTACCGCGCGATCACACTGCTGAGCGCCGCCTACAAGGTACTGTCCCAAATTATATGCCGCCGCCTGTCACTATTTGCAAGAGAGTTCGTGAGGCAATACCAGGCGGGATTCATGGATGCCCGCGCTACCACGGACCAAATTTTCGCGATTCGGCAGGTTCTGCAGAAATTCCGCAAATACAACGTGCCCACACATCATTTGTTCATCGATTTCAAATCCGCATACGACACAATCGATTGAGATCAGCTATGGCAGATTATGCACGAGTGCGGATTTCCGGATAAACTGACGAGATTAGTCAAGGCGACGATGGATCGAGTAATGTGCGTTGTTCGAGTATCGGGGACACTCTCGAGTCCATTTGAATCTCGAAATCGAGATGGTCAATGAGTTCGTGTATTTGGGCTCACTGGTGACCGCCGAAAATGATACCAGCAAAGAAATTCAAAGACGCATTATGGCAGGGAATCGTGCCTACTTTGGACTCCGGAGGACGCTCCTGTAGAATAAAATTCGCCGCCGCACGAAGTTGACTATCTACAAGACGCTGATTGGACCGGTGGCCCTCTACAGCCACGAGACCTGGGGAGTTATTCCGAGAGTCGAAATTACTTTTGTCACTAGTGAAGTGAGAAAAGTCACGTCGTGGTGACGTAACTCTCTGTGCAAATCACAACGTGACTTTTCTCACTTCACTTGTGACAAAAGTCACTTCGACTCTCGGAATAACTCCCCTGGACTATGCTCGTGGAGGACCAACGCACCCTTGGTGCTTTCGAACGGAAGGTGTTGCCTACCATGTACGGTGTAGTGTATATGGATGACGGAACGTGGAGGAGGCGAATGAACCACGAATAGCACCAGCTGCTGGGAGAACCATCCATCGTCCACATTGCAAAAATTGGCCGTCTAAAGAATGCCGCACGACGACCCAGTGAAAATGGTTCTAGAAAGTGACCCAACAGGAACAAGAAGATGAAGCGCGCAGCGTGCAAGGTTGATCGACCAAGTAGAAGGCGACCTGCGGACCCTTCACAGAATACGAGGCTGGCGAAGTGTTGCCATGGATCGAGTAGAGTAGAGGACAGCAGAGTACAACAGAGGACAACAAGGCCTTACCCTGATTGGTAAGGGTAAGGTAAGGTAAGTAAGAAATGGGTTGCTGGATCTGCAATAAGGCTTCTAACTCCCGGACTAAAACAGTATGCAATTATGGCAACCGAGAAATTGCAGATGACTTTATTGCATAATACCACCATAGAGGTAACTCTAAGACTAGTAAGTCCCGAAGAAACGAGCTCAACTTTTTGGCTCAGCTCTAGTACTCTCTTCGGTCCCAAGCTAATCGATACACCCCTCAAAACATAGGAAAATCCCTCATATTATCTATCAAACTTTCATAGCAAATCCAAACAAACATAGTGTAGTACTAGAATTTCGTCTAGAATGGGGTACGTTAATCGATTGGCTTGGGACCAATAGGCTAGTCAAGTAGTGAGCCAATTTAAAATCGTTAGTTTCCACCGGTTGATATCACTGCCGGCCAGTGGGGGTCAGATTGAATACACACACAAAAAACAACAAGCCATCAACTGCGGCTGATATTGCAAGCTGTGATATCGCAGCTCAAAATATCAAGCTAACAAAACTCACCAGCTGCAAATCTCCCCAAACTGGGTGAGATAGAGTTTCATGATTTTTGCTTTATACTTGAACGCAACCGAAACTTCCATAACAGCTGGCAGCAGTCGTTTCGTGACTGCCATCAGTGAAGAGAAAAACGAGATAATAGCACAGAATAATAGTCTAGCAAAGGAACTTGTGAAATCAATAGCATGCTCCAAAAACAATGATCCTTTAGACCTAGAGACCCATTTGGCCTAAAGCTCGATTCAAAGTAAATCTTGACGCACGGTTTAATACACCACCGCGCCCCTGGTGGTTGGAACAAAAAATGTTTGACAGGCATTTGTTGACGTTTCATTAACGAAGATGTTGGTGAAAAGTTTTTCTCGATTGATCGACGCATCCCGAAATTATGGATCATGGAACTTGAGAAAAGAAAATTAATTGTGCACAAACATCTAGAGAACCCTTCGTGGTCTGCCTCAAAAATAGCAAAAGTGTTAAAATTCGTAAAGTCAACGGTGAGTCTTGTAATCAAACGTTACAAGGATACTCTGAGTGAGGATAGAGCTCAGCGCATCTATCATAAAAGTGGCACTAAAGGGACAAAGAGCTGAGAAGAAAGGTGTTGAGGTACGTGAAAAGCAACCCAGGTGTCTCCATACGTGATTTTGCAAAGAAATACGATTCCAACTTTTCCACCGTGCGTAACATCCTTTCAAGAGAAGGATAGTTTGTTTTTGCTGATAAGTTTGCTCGGAAACTAATAATTTGGCAAGGAATCTGAAGTTGTGGCCTTAAAACCAAGGTTTTCATCACATCTCACATAATGACGTCGAAGGCTTTAGTGACATTAACTCATCATCGACGGCATTTAGATAAAAATGGAAAATATCATAGCTCTTCGGGTATCCATAATGTATATTAGGATTTGAATTTTCATGGCCGCGTCAAGACCAATAACTATAGAAATTTGAACAGTCTGGTGGAATTTCTTTCGTCTATTCCGATTAACTAATGCACTCCCATAGTAAGCTTAACATCATATAATTATAAATATAACGAATCATATAAAATAAACAGCAAGTGATCCAGTTCAAGCAAAACAACGTGCTTCATGTTGATGCGATGAACAACATAAAACGCCCAGATATTGCACCAAAAAGCATCCTATAAATGCAAGACGAAATAACCTACCGCGTTCCGTTTTATCTGTGAGACCCATCCCATAATAACGCTAGTATTTCACTCATTTAGTCCTTAATCACCAAAGGCATCACCAGCAGGGGAGCATTGAACTTCGGATTGTCCGAATACAGCGACCAAGTTCGCTTACGGCAGTCGAAGATTCCCACACAAACCGTCTTGACGATGTCCTTGGCGTCCTTCTCGCGGAAAACAGTGTGCTCTATGGCGCTCTGATCTCCCAGCATTCGTATGACGTCGTTTAGGGTTTTCGGTGCGCAGAACGATTTGAACGTTTTCATTCGTTCCACACTGGAGTCGATGATCAATCCCGATACCTCCGGAACCGGCAACCGTAGGTACATGTTCGCATGAACGATGTGTTCACCCGGGCTGGCGGTCAGAATGTTCAGTTGGGATTGATCCTTTACGGCCGGTCCCATTTCAGCATTGTGGAACAACCGGTCACCTTCTTGTCTGTTTTGATGGGATTGAAAAAAAGGTTGATTTAGTTTAGAAAGTGGGACTAATCCAAGCAAGCGAATGTACTCACTTCAAGAACGTCATATTGACCGAGCATCCATCGGCAGCGCCTACTCCGTTATCCCGTAGAATTAGTTGCGCTTGCGCAAAGTTCTCCGCCGATAGCAGAGCACGTGTGATGAAGTGTCGGGCTGTGAAGTAGATCCAATTTAGGTTGTAACTTTAAAAGATAACGGTTACTGCAACTTACGAGTCTTTCCACTGTACAGATTACTAGCACTCAACGTGTTAATCGAAAACACCAATCCATGGTGGTTGTAGTTCATGGTATAGCCCGGCAGATGGCCCGCATAGCAGAGGGAGGTGAAGCGTTCCTCGGTCACATTGTATTTACCCTGAGGAGCGTCCGAAACAATGTGAGCCGAAACGAAGTAGTAGTGATTCAGGACTTCACTCAGGGCATCTTCGGTGTGGGCCAAAATTTCCTGTTAATATAAGGTTTGTAAGGAATTTTTGATATAGAAAAAAATAAAAATGTGCGTAAATTTGGAAAACTTACACAATCTGGCTCATTAACGCACACCGTTGAGCATCCGATGGGTTGATTGATGCTATTTTTACCTTCGACAGCTACCGGCAGGATTTCGTCCATGTGTAGTAGAAATAGCTGAATAATTAAAAAGCAGATACAGCAGGGTGTTTAATGACTTAATTAAACTCTCATTAATGATATGCCACTGCGCGTATCAGATCAACTTCGTTCACACGGCCAAAGTGTGCATTTAGCATGATTGTCGAGTCTTTGAAACACACCTACTGGAAGTGTGGGAGGTTTCGGTCTTGGATGTTAATGTGCGCCAATTACACCGTGATCAAGTTCAAGTGCATGCGGTGCACCTGGCAGTCCACACTTGGCACGGGAAAAGCAATAAACATTATTATTTTGCATCCACCGTGATGCATGTAAATGATGATTTGTTGTGATTGATTTAATTCAGGCTTTCAAAGCAATACATCATTATTAAGAACTGCAAGAGGTGAACTACTTTGTAAAATGTTGTCCCGTAAAAAGTCGGCTACATCCGGTAGTGACCCTGGTAAGAGTAGTATGTCAAACTGTCGTGCATTTTACGCTTGTTTGCGTTTTAGACATAATTATATCTAATAATGCCAGACACGCTAACTGCTAGTAAAATTGCTGTCATTGACTAGACAAGTGTTGATTTGGAATGCAATGTTATTTGATCGGATCAGCAAAATCAATTTAATTGAATGGTTAAGATAGACTGCTATGACACCTCTCGCTGCAATAGAACATTCCTGCTTTCAACCATTTATGTAAAACTTTTATGGATATAGATGATCCGAGTTGTTTATGTTTGCCAATTACTTTTCAAGCAGTAACGTGCTTAGAACCAGGACATGCATACTCCCACGACAGCTTTTCATGAAATAACCATCGAAATGTGCGATTCAACTGACATTACTCGTTACGGCAAAAGGAATTCGATTTGAAAAACCTATAATTATTTAATTAGTGCATAGGTACTTCAACTGGAGTAAGTAGCAGTGCCAGCGTACAATGTTGCAGAAAACAGTGCATCTACCTTGTTCGTCCTGTTTATCAATTTGCTCTAATTTTACAGCGTATCTATTACATATAGTATAGTACCGTATCACCTTATTTGATGTATCTAGTTGATACCACATCAAGTGCCACAGCATGTAGGCGATAATTGAACGGTATGCCGCTAATACCGAGTAATTGATACTTGAGCATGAAGTCGGATTGAATTATTTAGTGCTCTAGCGGGTAATTGCTGATCACCTTTGTTGGCACTTTAGCTAATTACATTGATTTGTTATGTTCAATTATAATTGCCGAACCCTAAATGGATTTCTCTTTATTCTCGAGGGGTAGTGGAAAATGATTAAGTTATTTTTTTCTCAAGACCACAATAATACTAACCTTATGAAATTCAACCTGTGCTCCGTCAGCGGTTCCTTCAAGTTCACGAACATACTGTGGGAACGATTTTTTGACCGAGTCCAGAGTTTCATTGTATACTTTTCCTGTGGAAGAAATGAGTAAAATATGTTTTTATTAGTAATTCAATTGAATCACATTAAAAAAATATATCACTTAAGCTTGAGTCATTTAATATCCGGCACAAAAAAACGCATGTATATCGAAACCATCTAAATGAAATAAAAATGTTGAGTACTCATGTTGAATGTCATTTATTGCACTTCAAAGGAAAAATAGCGAAAACATTATTACGATTTGGTTTGATGAAATCTCGAACTTTTCTTCGAATACCACTCATCATATTTTGGTCACTCTGTTGGCTACCCTAATAAAAAATTACCATACGCGAACGATAACCCAAATTGTTGAACTATTCCACAAATGGTTTGGATGATACTCCGAACACGTCGTTAAGCAAATTAACCATAACATTTTTATTAGGGTAACCTGAGCGGCCGTTTTGTTCCACCATCTCTTCATCTCTGCCGCATCCCGAGTCATCATTCCACTCTTCTTCAACTTCTGTTTGACAATTGCCCAATATTTCTCAATTAACCACTTCATTCGAGCAGTTAAAATGAAGTTTACTACCACTCGAACTTTTAAATAAAACATTATTTTGAGATTTTGTCTTCTAGAACCACGAGAAAAGTAGCTAACATTTGCGCGTTTCATAAAAAAAATAGAAATTAGTTCGTCCAGTTTTGTGAAATCGCTGGTAGAGAGTCACGCCAAAACTGCTTGACAAAGTGGTCAATTGGGTGGAATTGAGGGCAGTTCGGTGGATTGATGTCCTTTTCGAAGAAATCTACCCCGTTGTCAAAATACCACTGTAGAACTTCTCCGCTGTAGTGGCAGCTTGCCAAATCAGGCCAAAACTTTACAGGTCCATTGTGAGCCTCAACGTACGGAAGAAAACGTTTTTTTAGGCACTCCTGCTTGTACATTTTGGAATCTATAGTCTTGTTTGTCACGGAAACCCGGGTTTTTTGTCCGCATCTGCAAATACCTTGCCGGATCATAAGCTTTCTTGCAAATTTATCGAAAAAAAAAACTAATTTGAACTTATTAGGGACATCACGTCAACCGGTGGCTTTTAATCCTTGATTTGTTTTTCGTCGATCTTGTTTTCCATGCTGAGCACCAATGATACCAACGCCAGGGAGGCAGCGCCCAGACCTGAACCCTGCTTACCAACCCATCAACTCACCCGGGGACCAACGGCTTTACTTCCGTGGCGTGATCAGAGATGGTATGCATCAGAACATTCCGGCGCTGCCGAGTGAGATTGAACCCAGGCCTGCTGGGGTGGGAGGTAATCACGCTTACCACTACACGACCGGTGCCGCTGGTAAATGGCTTTATAGAACTTTTGTCCGGGGAGCTGCCCATAATCCATCTTCACGTACGTTTCGCCGTCCATGAGGATGCATCCTTGGTACTTTGTAAACACCTCATTGTACAACTTCCGGGCATGTCTTTTGGTCACTAGTTTCTGCTCCATGTCCTGGTTGGTTCGAAAAGATCGAAATCCTTCCCGCTGACTGTGGCGGTGCTTTGGCTGGCATTGAATTTCTTGGCGATATCATAATCCGACAGTCCTGGGTTTGCCCTAACCGTTCTCAACACCTTCGATCCTTAGTTCCATTACGACGCTTGCTATGATCCTGCCGATCGATAGTATGCCACTCACGGAAACGTTTGAGAACACTGCACACGGTCGATTTAGCCAATTTCAACGACTTCGCAATTTTTGAACCTGACCACGTCAGATTTTCCAAGTGTTCGGTTCGCGGCTTCCATCAAGTATAACTTCTTTTAAACAAAATGAATCGTGACGAACATTTCAACACTGAAAGAGGAAACATTTCAAAACAAACTGCTGTCAAAACATTCCAGATCCGACCGCTAGGAGCACTGCAGTAAAAAAACAATGCATCCAGATATTAAAGGACTCAAGCTTTAATCATCAACTCTTAAGGTGATTCCTTGTAGAGTCCACAAATAGCCGCCACGTAGGCTATAAATGCGCTACCAACTCGAGTTTTCAATTACACAAATCTCGGAAATTGGAGCTCCAATTCACCTGAAATTGCTGCTGCATGTATGCTGCAGCGCAGCAAACGTGGAGTAACAGTTTAATTGTAGTACGTGTCGTGGAAGCTGATATTTGTGCAGGTTTCGAAGTGGTACCGAAAATAAGGATCTCACAGCGAATCACCTTAAGAGTCAACAATTTAATTCAAACGAACCCATTTGAAGGCTGCTCAACTGGAGTTGCTCTTCTAGGCATAAAAAAAAAACATTTGACAGTGTTTGACATGGAGGTTTGATTTCCAAATTGAAAAAGTTTAATTTATTTATTATGAAATTAGTTCAAAATTATATAACTGAAAGATCCTCATCGATGTTTTTTTTTTTCAATTAGCCTCTACCTTGGCTGCGCTTCACCCTAATAACCCATACAGACTGATATCATGTAACATACGCTATCTTGCAATGAGCACTCATACATAGGATTTCCAGTGAAAACTAGATGTATGAGTGCTTATTGCAAGATAGCCCATATTACATGATATAAGCGGTATAAGACAAGACATGACATGTGGCTTCTTTATATTCTTCTTGGTAGGGTCTTCATTCGCTTCTGCAGTCCCTGTTAAACAATATCCGTGCTAAACCCTCGGTGTAGAAGGCTGATAATACGAGCGACGAGCTTGGCCCGACCATCTTCTTCTTCTTCGCATTTCAAGCTTATTGCGTGCTCTCAACTAAGTGTTCTAGATGCACTTCCACAGTTATCAATTGAGAGCTTTCGATGCCTGTACCATTTTTGCATTGGTATAATTGTGTGGCAAGTCCAATCATACTTCTATGCCCAGGGAAGTCGAGAAATTTTACAACCCGAAAAATTCCTAGACCGGACCGGGAATTGAACTCAGCCACCTCCTGCTTTGTAGATGCGCCTTTATCGACTGAGCTAAGGGAGGCCCGACCAACCATTCGTGAAACTTCTTCACGTCCTTACGGTCATCGGGGAGGGAAATGATTGTTATTTCAACAACCGTTGCTACTAGAGAACGAGTACACCTCTGCATCTCCACGGTTGTCACTGGAAGGACGTTTTTGTTAGTGGGAATGGTAAATTAGATCTGGATTCACATTGGAAAGTGATGCGATCTTTTAAAACCTGTTAAGCAAATGACGCAACCCTATCAACTCAGTAATGTAAAGAGGCTTGGGTTTTAACCCACGATCTTCTGCTCAGTAAGCAAAAATGGTCGCTCTAAGGCCACCGTAACCCCTTACATCACAATAAGCGACGACCGACGATCGTTCATTATCGGTTACAAGAAGCTTTTACAAATCATCCAAATCATCCAAAGTAGTTAACAATGTCTTCCGAGCCGATTCAGGTGTACGTCACATTTGTCTAAATATACTTATTACTTTTCTGAATCGTTCCTCCAATTTCTGTTATTAACGATTTTCTACAATAGAGGCCTGGATTATTAACTTAGTAATGTAATGAGGCTTGGGTTTTAACCCATGATCTTCTACTCATTAAGCAAAAACAGTTGCTCTATAGCCACCGTGCCAAACATTTTTTTTCCCATTTCGTGGACATTTACCACTGCGACCAGTGTTTTGATCTATTGTGGTGTATCCTCTTTTTACTGTTTGCCGTGTGTTTTACTGTTGATCATCGGGATTATCCCAATATGGAATTGCACTTCGAATGAAGTTTACAACTTTATTGGGTATACTGGTCCAAATTTCTCCAGGTACGGTGAGTCCTTTATCAAGAAATCTGCATCGTTTATTAATGCAGCGTAATCATCCAATAAATGTTCAGAGCTTTCACTCTCCAAATTACAAAAGCGACATCTATCGTCGCTAAACTTTCCAATTTTTTTTTAAATGATGTTTACTAGGACAATGTCCTGTTATTAATCCAGTGTAGGTGCTTAAATCTTTTTTGGAAAGATTGAGTAACCTTTGCGTACTCAAAACGTTGGGCTTAATGAATCGTTTAGATTGCCGGGCTGTTGAGATATTATTCCAATTGGATTGTACCTTGCTTTTTTCCCAGTTCTTTAATTCCATTTTCAGATTAGAAGATGATAGACCAATAAACGGTTCGGGACCAATAAATTGCTGGGATGAGCCAAGCTTTGCTAATTGATCAGCTTTTTAAATTCCTTCAATGCCGCAATGACCAGGAATCCAATATAGATTTACCTTGTTACGACAGGACAATTTCTGAAGTTGATTATAGCATTCCCGCACTAGCTTTGAAGTGTAAATCATCGACTTAAGGGCATTCAATGCTGCTTGACTGTCCGAAAAAATGCATATGTTTGCATTCCTATAATTTCTTTTTAAACATATTTCTACACATTCTAGAATCGCAAATATCTCTGCTTGGAATACTGTTGGCCATTTACCCATTGCTACAGAACAGTTAATTCCAAGACCTGTTATTCCTACCCCCTATCCTGTTTTGAGCCATCCGTGTAGAATGTTATAGACACAGGACGAATCAACGGTCCTCCAGCCTACCAGTGTTGATTTAAATACATTAAATAGATGGTTGAATTCATGTGTTTCTGCCATAAAATCTGCATTCTTTAATATTAGTGGACTTAATTGAACCTCTTTCAAAATGCGCATATGATTTTTAAGATCTTCTTCAAAGAGCTCTTTTGTTCGTCTGAGTCTGAGAGCATTCTTCATTGCATCAAGTTGAATGAACTGATGTGCCTAACATTCCCACAATCCTAACATTACCACAATCTACGACCGACTCAACAAAAAGTTATTCAAATGAAGTGACGGCTCTGAAAGCAGACAACAATGTGTTCCAAACTGGATCACGCATACACCCTTTCCGAAATTCATGGTTTATTGTTAACTGCGCTTTATGCTCTCGGAACCTACAGATGGTGGTTTATTCTGTTGTGGGAGAGCTTACCCATTAAATTCTGCTCATTAAGCAAAACCGATCCCTTCAGGGTTATCGAGCATCTCACAAACACAACAC